AATGCTGAGTGTTGCTTTGCAAAAACACAAAGTATATTAATGGCAGAACTATATTTAGAATCATTTCATAAACTACTGGGAATGCCGTACTAATCTCAAATCAAAATTAATTTAACATTTTTTCATGAAACTATCAGCACCCCACAGAGCAATTTTTATGATGAAACATTCTAACACAACCCAAAGATATGCTGAGTTGATACTTATATACTCAGAAAAGATGGTAAAAAAAAAAATATTAGAGATCTTTGCTTTCCACAATAACTAGGAGCAGTGAAGTTAGTCTATGCAGCAGCTGTGAGCCACCTACACTTAAGTCCCAGCTAGTGCACTTGCCAGGTTACCATCACAAAATTCCACATTTGGGAGGAATTTTGACATTACAAATGGTATATTGAAAAGTTGAGTGGAAACAAGCTGTCCACATAAAAATTAGGGGATAACTTAAGTTAGTTCAAAGGAGTCAGTGACCACATTTTTACAAATAGCCTTATCTTTCTGGTCCCATTATCCACACCTCCTACATCACAGGGTACAAAGATGACTCCCGACTCTCAACAGTGTGAACAATAGGAATCTGCTCCACATTTTCACACATGCTGTTGTTTTGTTTTGTTCCTGGAAGCTTCCCATAGCTCAAAGGAAAGGTTTTGTGAGGATTTAGCTCATCTTTTGAGCCTGGGTTAGCCAGTAAACCAAATTATGTAGCACATAAGATGAAAAAAAAATCCATTCATTGCTAGCCAAATCCAGAAGCTTGGGAAATTTCCCCATTTTCTAATGTGTTTATGCCGGACTCCGTTCCATTATACAGAGTATAAATAGTCATGGGTCAAAAGGTGGTGGGTAACAGCAAAGCCATATGTTTGAATATTATAATAAAGTCATCCATGATTTGGCCTACGATAGATTTCTAACTATAAAAGTCTGAGTTCCATCTAAAATCATTGCTTCTTATTTTTGCATTTGATCAGGCAGAAGCAGTGTCATTTAAGTGGAAAATGAACCAAGAATATAGACTGGGAGAAATATTAATTCCTCTACAGAAATTTAAACAGAAATGCTATAGTCTTCTATCTTTTCTTCATTTTTTAAATTCAGTGCTTTTTTGAGTTAATATGCTTGTAAATAATGTTCATAACAAGGGTGTCATGCAAGCATCATTATGGAATAAATAAATTCTAGCTACATGAAATACATAAACAGATAAAAATAATTGCACTGGAAAATGGACACTCAAGGACATCCAAACTTTTCATAGCTTTGTTCCAAACAACTAGAGTATCCCAGTAATGCAGCTGTGGTCCTTAGCTGTAAACAGAAGAGCATCAAGGAGCTTTCTCTTGGCTTGTGTTCTAGATTTGTGATGTGTGACATTCTGTACAGGTTCCTTTGGAATGTTTCTTGCCTGTGTGTTGGCATTGCAACCCCACAGGGCATCACCAGAGATTTGTTCCACAGTCTGCATCCTGGTAAAACCAAAAGGACTTTCTCTATAATAAGCAGACTGTGCCATCACTGTTGGGTAATTTTCAGATTTGTACCAGTTTCACAGACTTCACAGATTACATAGAGTTGGGAAGTTCTTGTCGAGCATCCTCAGGCCACCTGACAGATGGGGGAAAGCCAAGAGAAGCACCAGCCGATCTGTACAGTGTCCCCTGGGGCTATACCAGGGTCTCTGCTCTGTCCAACTCACACAGCTGGTGAATAGATGCAGCCAACGGATGTTTAGTCTCAGTTATTGTCTGTCACAGAAACATCTAGTAGTGGATGATAGTGCTCACAAGGAGCACAGGTTTTGGTCAAGTCTTTTTCTTGGCCTTGACATGTTCTTTTAGAGAAATCATGAGTTGTGGCCCAATGCCATCTCCCTTCAGGATCACTCTGTACTATGTGCCAAGAACTGTCCTATAAATTTTCTTTCATGTTCTATGACCCTGTTGTAGACACAGTGTTTTCGCCCTGAGTTTGACTTGCCTGAATCTGTCTCTGATGAAACTCTGTTCTTTACTGATCAGAAACAGCAAATGGAAAGGGGGATCCTTGGGGAACAGGCCCACTAACACATGTGATGATATACTATTTATGATTTATGAAAGCCTACCTGAGGATTCAGAAAGCAAAGCCAGTCACAAACTATAGAGGTCAGGCATCAGTGATAAATACCTTTAATCCAAGCAACCATACTAGCTACCCAGGCAGTGGCGGCACAAATCTTTAATCCCAGGATTCAGGAAATAGGCAGATGGATCTCTCTGAGTTCAAGGCCAACCTGGCCTACACCAGAGGGAAGAGTAAGAGTTCACACCTTTGATCCCAGCACTTGGGATCACACACCTTTAATCCCAGCACTAGGGAGGTGCAGACAGGAGTGATATGGTTATGCAGAGAAAGTAGTAAAAGCAGGAGACAAGAACTGAGTGAGAGCTTTTGCCTCTGAGGATTCATGGAAACAGGATTGCAATTTCAGCTTGGTGGAGGTAAGATCTATTGGCTTGGTTTCTTTGCTTCTCTGATCTTCAGTTTGCAGTCTGATCTTCATTTATTTCTCATGTTACGAACACACAGCCTTTATATCATCAGAGTCAGACTGGGCCATTGTCCTCTGCATGAGCCGCCACCATCTTTGCTTCTTTCAGACAGGGTCCACTGTGTAAAAGTGCAGAGATTACTCCAGGCTTCTTTGCCAAAACTAAGTATTGTTGCCAATTTGAGCCTATGAAGCCTGGTATGTGGTTTAGCATGAAACAATAAAAACAGGTTTATTTTTGTTTAACTGTCCACTCCACTGGGCCTGCTTTTTTTTTTTTTTTTTTTTTTTTTTTTTTTTTTGCTGTTGGTTGATGTCAACATGGAGCATTGGAGCATTTTCCCCCAAGAGGTCCAGCTCCTAGCAACTGCTCTGAGCATCCAAAAGTGATTTCCTGGAAGTAATTAGGGACAGGGACATGATGAATTCACCTCTGTAAAGAAAGTCTTAGTTTGGGCAGCCATGTGGTCTCAAAAGGATATGGAAGGTCACTTGTATTTCTGTGGCTCAGGCCTCTTTTCTGAAGTGTTCTTCAGGAAGAAATATTAAGGGTTGAATAGCTCAAAATATGCAGAGCACTTTGAGCTTGTTAGTATTGGGCCATTAAGATGGCTCAGTCAGTGAAAAACACTTGCTGTGCAAGCCTGGCCATTTAAGTTCTGTCCCTGTAACCCATGGAGAAATGGCTCAGCAGTTATGAAACTCTGTGTTCAATTTTCTAGAAATATAAGACAGCCATTGTCTTAGGGTTTTTATTGCTGTGAAGAGATACCATGACCAAAGCAACTGTTTTCCAAGAAAACATTCAGTGGGGTGGCTTACAGTTTCAGGGGATTAGTCCATTATCATGGCAGAATGTGGAAGCATGCAGGCAGATGTGGTGCTAGAGAAGGAGCTGAGAGTTCTCACATTTTAATTCACAGGCAACAGGTAGTACTCTGTCTCATTGGGCGTGGCTTGAGCATATGAAACACTAAAGTCCACCTCCACAGTGATACACTTCCTCCAATAAGACCACACCTATTCTAACAAGGCCACACCTCCTAGGGGCCATTTTCTTTCAAACCACTACAGCCATAAATTATCAATGATGTATTTACATGTCTCCCCCTCCCCAAAAAAAAAAAAGCCAGGCAATGGTGGCACACTACTTTAATTCCAACACTTGGGAGGCAGAGACAAGCAAATCTCTGAGTTAGAGGCTCGACTGGCCCAGAATAAGTTCCAGGATAGCCAGGGCTAAATAGAGAAACCCTGTCTCAAAAAACAAACAAACAAACAAAAACAGGAAAGAATAAAAAAAAAGAAAAGGAAGAAAGGAAAAATGCTTTTTTAATGCGTAATGCTTCTTGCTCAGCACAGCACCAAGTGGCTTGACTTGTTATAACCTCAATACTGTTACCACTCCCTTTATCCATGAAAAACTGAGACACAGGAGGTATCAAAACTGCCTATAGATGCACAGTCAGTTAATAGGAGTTTGGGCTCTTCAGCTCTGTGCTGTTGACAAGAACTAGATGGCATACTTTATTCACAGGATAGGCAGTTGCCACACTAGCTTCCTAGGGATGATGTGTACATTCCCACAAACTTGGTATCTTGAAACAATAGAAACTAGTTCTGTCATTTCTAGAGGGTAAATCCATACTCAGGATATTGGCAGGACCATGTGTCCTCCACACCTCTGGGGGTGGATTCTCCCTTGCCTCTTCCAGCTTCAGCATCCCTAAGCAGCCCCTGCCTGTTAGCATCATCACTCCAATGTCCACCACAGTTTTCACATGACTTCACATGTGTCTCTACCCCTACCTATTCTTTAAAGAATGTTTATCATGCTAGATTAGGACCAACCCTATTAACCATATCTTAATTTCATCACATTTGTAAAAACCTCCAGATAGGGCCTTCTTCACAGGTACCAGGGGCTGGGTTGCTATGCTTCCCCCTCCCCCCTGCGGTACAGGAGAAGCAGGAAACAATTTAACCACAACATTCACACAATTATGATTTTTGAGCCTGGAGCAAGGAGACTGCAAGTGTTGGAGAAGAGTTCAAGATTAGCACCAACTTCAGAGTTTCTTCTTACACAATTAAGACTGAAGGAGTTTGGACCAGGGAAAGGGCAATGAATTACTGTTTCAAAGACACCAGTGCCTACTTAATCATGCCCCACCCATCACTGATACTTTGGGGAATTTTTCCGGTCTCACAGGTACCTCTCAGGAAATGACAGCATCAGAAAGCCAGGAAAAAATTTAACCTCCAACCCTGCGGGAGAGGAGTACATATCACTCACCTCTAGAAGGTACTCTGCATGGCTAGACCAAAATAGCAAACTCAGAAAATACTCAAGACCTCAAGACCTCAGGGGAATCATAACACAACAGAGACAGTAGTGAGCAAATCATTTATTCTCCTACTCCAGTGAAAACCTATAGGAATTAAAAAAAAAAAAAAACTTTAAGACAGGTTTGAGAAGAAGGTGTAGAATAGTGAGGGCAGGATGGGTGCTATCAAACCAGGGTGTCCTTGGGTGCTTGGACTGCACAGATTTCGTAGAGTTGGGAGGTTCTAATCTTGAGTTCTCGGGCCATCTGACAGACGGAGAAAGGCCAGCAGCAATGCACCACCATCCAATCTTCACAGAGTGTCCCCTAGGGCAAGACCAAAGTATACAGGACTGCTTCTGTTTCTCTGTAACGTTACCTGCTGGTCCATCCCACCCTCTGCTTCCAAGATCAACCGAATACTTAGTCAGTACTTAGAACACTGGGTAGCCAAGTGTCAAGCAGTAGCTGGTCAATATCTATAGTTCAGAGCTCTGCCCATTCAATTTCTGACATGTGCCTCTTACTGAAAATTCCAATTTTTCTTTTTAGTTGTCTCTTAGAATCATTTTATTTATTTTTGTAGTAGATAATGAAAGGAAAAGTATCAGCTCAGGACTCCAAGAGCAAGTTCTGAGCACTAAGTTTACTTGCCCCAGAGGGACAGAGGGCAAGGGATAAGAGACAACACAGGAGATAGGGGACCAAGGAGAAGGGGAAGGGAACAAGAGAAAGCGGGCAGGGGTATTTGTCCCAAGCAGAGGATAACAAAGAGCTGCCACTGGACAGGAAGGAAACAGACATGGCACATGAGAAAATGGCACCTTTTAGTATACACTTATAAATGAGTACATACCATGTTTGAGTCTGAGTTACCTCATTCAGGATGATTTTTTTTTTTCTAGCTCCATCCCTAGCAATAGTGGACAGGGTGCCTGAACTGCCTTTCCCTGTAATCAGATTGTTGGTTACCCTGTCATTATAGAGCCTTCATGCAGTACTGATGGAAGCAGATGTAGAGATCCACAGCTAAGACTGGGCTGAGCTCTGGGAGTCCGGTTGAAGAGAGGATGAAGCATTGCATGAGCAAGGGGGTGCGGTCAAGATCATGACAGGGAAACCCACAGAGACAGCTAACCTGAGTTTGTGGGAGCTCATAGACTCTGAACTGACAGCTGGAGAGCCTTGCATGGGACCAACCTAGGTCCTCAGCATATGGATAACAGTTGTGTAGCTTGGTCTGTTTGTGGGGCCCCTTGAAGTGGGATCAGAACCTGTCCCTGGCACATGAGCTGACTTTTTAGAATCTATTTCCTATGCAGGGATGCCTCACCCAGCCCTGATGCAGGGGGAGGAGCTTGGTCCTGCTTCCAGCTTTGTGGACTCCCATGGGAAGCCTGTCCCTTTCTGAATGCAGGAGGGGTGAATGGGAAGAGAGGGGGAGGAGAAACTATGGTTGATATGTAAAATAAATGAAAAAAATGTAATAAAAAAGCTTTAAAAAAAAAAAAGAAGGAAAGAACCCCAGCTTTTAAAGATAAAAGGGATCCCTGTGTTAGGATGAGTGTTTAATTTTAATTGGGCATGTTAATGAGGTGAGCCAAAGGGGGCTTTGATTGGTGGACTTCAATACTTCCATAGCTGGACCTTGGTAGTCAGTCTCAGGAGGAAGAAGTGGCCAAATAAAGGATTAGACCTTGCTGGCTAACTTTAGCAATGTAATCTAACAGATTTTAGCAAAGCAGAGGACTCAGAGAAGGGCTAGGGCTGTCAGAGCTATAGTCTCTAGAGGGTTAATGTCCCTTCAGGTAATAAACTAAAATGGTCCCAAATCCCCATAGTAAAAAGTGGGGGGAAGTAAAAAGAAATTCTCCTTTCTCCTCCCCCAGAGCTGTCCCCAGCCACCCTACACTACCTGTCTGGAGACAATCATTAGTTACCAGTTACGTTTCCAGGCAAACTTCATCAGGCTACACATATAGTCCTTATATATGAAGAGTTACACAAGTCTTGTTTTGTTCACATAAAAAGGTATTATAGGGATCATCCCACAAAATGCCTAGATTTTTGAGAGAGTCTGTCTGTGTTTCAGTTTCTGTGTGTCTGTGTGTCCAACACAGAAGGTTCCCTTTTGAAGATCCTCTGTGTCTACATGTGTTGTCTCCCATCTCTCCTCACCATCTCACAGGCTTCAGTCTTGTCCCTACTAGAAGTTAAGAACCCCATGGAATCCCCTAAGATAATTCTACATGGGTCACATGGGTTACACTTTAAGCCAGACCTCACAAGTACCTCCAAAGTAGGTTTGATTCCATCTGCCATGTCTTTAAAAAGTAAGAGACATATGTGTGGTTTTCTGCTTGTAGATGGGAAGGGTTAGCAGCTACAATCTCCTATTTCTATGCATCAAAGTACATCTCAGGAAGTGTAAGTTGACCAAACCAGTTGATCAACAGCCTGCAATATGATTTCTTCTTGGAGATACTCTTCATTATACAGCATTTCATTGGGCATAGAACCATTGAAAACTAGGAGTGAGCAGGATTTTCATTCCCCACCACTTTTCATTAAATGGTATTTTAAGCATCTTTACTAATATATATCTATATATCCTCTCCCCCCCCCCACTCTCAATAACTTTGGGGAACCATAGGTTGAAAAAGCATCCAAGATCTCCTAAAGATTTAGATTCATACATGCCTCAATTTCCCTTACCTGTATTTTATGTCTCTCTCTGGTGCCAATTCTCAATGCAAAGGTAGACCCTGGTAACAGTGGCCAACAAAGACACTCTCCATAATGCCTGGCAATGTCACACTCAAGACACATGGGACAAAAGAGACCACAGAAACCTGTCAATTGCACATAAAAGAAAGCCAGTGTTCTCAGATATTCAGGGGCCGACTTCACATTTTAAATAAATTCACAACCCTGCACCATCAATTCAACACTGCATTGTCTGCCTGTGACCAGGGACAAAGAATGAATAAACAATTCTCAAAACTCAGAGCTAGAAAATTGCCATTACCTGGCCACATCAAAATTATATTCTTTGGTTAAATATTGCCAAAGCTGAACCTGACACAATTCTGTTAGCACTGATTATGGTAACTGGGGTTTTTTGTGTTTTGTTTTTTCTGTCAAAAATGTTAAGTAATTTTTCAATCATAACTGATACTTGTTATGTTTGCCTATCCAATTTCATTACTTAACATGGACCTAGAACACTAGAAGATCCTTGAATAAGAGAACCCTTCCTATAGAAAATGATAGAAAACCTTTTGGGTATACACTGACTCTGTCTCCTATTCTTACCAGGGCTTTATTATCTTTCTCAGGTCAGGGGCTATTCTAATTTTTGTTAGCCTCACAGAGCTACTGACATTTGTTCATTTTAATCTGTAATCCAATAGGCAACTGGACCCTTGAGTGTCAACTGGAAATGCTTTCCACTTATTACTTCATTAACCATTAACTGTTGATATGGGTTGTTACACAGACTGAGTGAACTCTCTAACATGGATTCTATTCTAAAGATGTTTGAGGCCACAGGGCTGTTATGAACTTGCTCTAGAAGGGAAAAGAAAATACATACACATGGGTAGGCAAATTGTGCATACCCTTTCGTGGAGTTCATAGAGCCATTGAAAACTATTAATACGCCACAAGTTAAGAGCTCCTGACACACAGTTAAGATGTTACATCACCTAAAACTGAAAAGAGATGACAATCCTGATGACTTCAAATAATTGGACAATGAACCAACAAAAAAAAATGCCATGATAACTAGTCTTTGTAAACATCCTGTCTTATTTAGGGTTGTTGCTGCTATGATGAAACACCATGATCAAAGCAACTTGGGAAAGAAAGGGTTTACTTGGCTTATGTTTCTAAATGTTCAAAACTGAAGAAAGTCAGGAATGGAACTGAAATAGGGTAGGAACCTGGAGGCAGGAGCTGATGCAGAGGCCATGGAGGGGTGCTTCTTACTGGCTTTCTTCTCATGGCTTGCTCAGCCTGATTTCTTATAGAACCCAGGACCACCAGCCCAGGGTTGATGCCATCCATAATAGACTGGGCCTCCCTCATCAATCACTAATTAAGAAAATTCCCTACAGGTTTGCCTACAGCCCAATCTTATAGTTATGTTCTTAATTGAGGTCCCCTCCTCTCAGATGATTTTAGCTTCTGTCAAGTTGACATAAGAATATGCAGCATACATGCTAAAATTTTAATCAAAGGATTATTTTATATATGAAAATGCACAAATCTTAAATGTTCTTTTGGGTGAAATTAATAATTGTATTCACCTATACAACAGGAAATCGCACCCTTGCCATCCCTATTCCTGAGGGAAACACAGCCATGACTTCTATCCCCATTAAGTAAATTTTGCCCTCTTTCAGCCCTCATCTCAAGGGAATCACACTTACTTTTATAACTGTTTTGTTTTTGTGCAGTATCATGAGGTTTTTTTTTTTTTTTTAGGGTTAGTCATGTTGTTATATGAATCCGTAGTTATTACTGTTGAGTAATTAGCATTTCATTATATGAATATTCTACAAACTGTTTATTCTGTCACTAATCGACATTTTATTATTCTATTTTTTTATATTAACAACACTAAGAATACTCATAAGTAAGCCTTTATATGACATAGCTCCAATTCCATGTGTGGATATATACCTTCATTTTATTTGAATCATTTCTTGAGAGTGGAATTGCTAGGTCACATGTTTAATTCTACAAATATAGAGAAATATTTCTGCAAAACATTTGTACCATTCCATACCCCCTCTGACAACATTCAAGACTTCTGATGGCTTGATATGGTTGCCAGCATCTGCTTTTGTTAAAATTTTTATTTTTACCATTGTAGCACATGTGACCTGTTAGTCACCACAGCTTCTGGTACACCAAATGCAAAGGTATGGTAAGTACCATGTAGCTGGAAAAAAAAAAAAAAAAAAAAAAAAAAAAAACTAAATGTAGCCTCAAGTAATTCTGAGACATTTTATCCTGAATTTAAAGAAAAACATCCTGACTCCCCAGGATATGGCTCCATCGTAATATGCTTGCATAGACTGAACAAGGATCAGTCCCCAGCACTAAAAAATAATTTCCAAGCAGAACAAGAGACCCTACTCAGCACTGACAACTAGTCTGAACAATTCAGAAAACAGCAAAAGGTCTAGCAAATTACCAGCAAGCACAGAGGGCTCCCAACATCTGCAACCTTGAATTAGGGCAATTTGAAATCAATGGCACAGTCTGTGAAGATTATGAAATACTGTAAATTCCCACAAACAAAGCAATTAATAAAAATTTGCCTAATTGTAAAGCTGGCAAATTAAGCAACTGATCAGTCCTATTTACACATCTCTGAACTGAACTGCACCCTGTAAAAAAGTTGATTGTGCCTTAGCACCTCTGCACCATGTTAGGACCCACATGCTGGGTTTTTGTTGGTGGGTTGGTTGGTTGCATGGTTGATCTTTAATCTCCCTGTCAGATAATCATGCTATGGAATTGTGCTTTTTAGACATTTGTCTTACTTTTCTACTGAAGAGACAAAACACCATGATCACAGCAACTTCTAAAAGAACACATTTAATTGGAGGCTCATGGTTCCAGAGGGATAGAGTCCATGCCCAACATGGTGGTGAGCATGACAGCAGGCAGACATGGTGCTGGAGCTGAGAGCTCATATCTGATCCACAGCAAGAGGCAGAGAAAGAGCTGAGAATGATGTAGGCTTTCGAAACCTCAAAACCCACCCTTTAAAAAAAAAAAAAAAAAGTGATACCTCTTCCAACAAGGCTAAACCTAATCCTTCCCAAACAGTTCCACCATCTGGGGCCAAGCATTAAAACATATGAGCCTATGAGGAACATCCTCATTCAAACCACAATACTCAAATTCAATCACTTTGAAACAGAAGTCAGCTGTGGTTTTTTAAAAAATTTATGAAGCCCAAACTTTTATTTCATAATAACTAATATTTATAAAGAGTTCACCATGTGCCAAGCTCTTGCTGAAAATATTTTGTAATATTAATTCATTTAATCTTTGAAATAATCATGTAAATTAGGTACTTTTAAGGCCTACATGACAGCTTGCCCCATAATCACAGTACTTGTGGGACTGAAACAGAAGGATCATGAGTTCAAGGACAGCCTGGGAGTCATAGGAAATTGTAGAACAGCTTGTGCTTACTAAGACCCTATCTCAGAAAACTAATCCATGACTAAAATAGGTCCTCTTACTAGCCTTATTTTATAATTAGTTCACCTAATCTCCAGAAGAACTAAGTAATTTCCCCTAAATTCATAACATTGTCGGTGAAGGGCAGAAGTCAGATTTGAACTCCAGGAGTCTGGCCCCAAAGTCCTAGTACTACACCTATGTCCATATGTTCTCACATTTTATATTTCTATACTATCAGGTGGTGGGGGTTTACACCTTTAATCCAGCACTCGCTACTCACAAGAATGCCTCATTTTTAATATATGTTTGGGGACATAAAGTAACAATACATGGATGTGGGAACTGGCCTAGCCATAGTAAATAACTTTGCCCAACTTATTAAGATTTAAAATGTTCTAGGAATGAATAATTTCACTGATCAGTGCATAGAGTAATGCTTATGCAACTGCACAAAAAGACATCTGCAAGAACAGCATTGTAGCATATCTGTATCACAAAATTTACAAATGTAAGTATATTTGTAACATATATTTTACAATATATGTAAACAAGTAAAGCATGAGTGTGTAACCACTAAGATTGTGGGAAAGGGACTGAAGAGATGGCTCTGTGATTAAGAATGTTCACTGTGCAACCATGAGGACCTGAGTGTGGATCCCAGCACCCACATAACAAACCAGCATGCATACCTGAAATGCCAGGACTTTGGAAGACAAAGACAGGAGGAGTGGTGGGGTTTGAGGGCTGCCAGGCTACCTCTAGGTTCAATAAGAAGCCCTGTATCAAAGGAGTATAAAATGGAGCGTAATATAGGAGGTTATCAGATGCCCTCCTCTGACTTCTGCCCATGCACACTGGTACCCACACCTATCCGTACATTCTCCTTATAAAAATGAGATGTTACTAAAGAAGGATCCTTGTCTCTTCTTTTATAGAGCTCAAGGTCAACAGGGATTTGTGGCACACATTCACTTCAATAGTCTATTCTCTACTCTTGTGTGGGGATTGCCATTCTTCTCACTCACAGGCAAGTCAGGACAAAGACAAGAAGCTGTAGTGCAGAGGCCCAGAGAGCAGAAGCAGGAAAGGCAGGTGGAAACTTAAGCACAGCACACTTGCAAGGGAGCTGAAACTTCCAATAATAAGATATTTAGAGAGGAACGAAGCACACACATGCGTCGGTGGTGGGAGTGTGAATTAACTCACCTTCCAGAAGGAAAGCCACTAGGCGACACCTACCATAATTTAAAGAGGCATGTTCTGTTTGGTCAGCAAGTTTACTCACTAGCAATTACCCAAGACAGATATCCTCACACTATGCAAAAACAACATCTGATCAAGCAAAATCACACAGCATTGATTTGAGTAAACCACATAAAGGTCCACCGACAGGAGCATCTGGCATAAAGAAGCTGTGGCACAAGGGGATTCATAAAGCAATTTAAGAAATTAGCTGTGGTGGTGCTTATGTGGCATGATCACCTAAATGTGTGGTGAAATTCAACCAGAGGTGTCTAGGAATGTGTATCTGTAATTCTTCCATTTGTGTAAATTATGCACACACATATGTAAGGGATCTGGGGGAGGGTGATGCACCAAGATATCTGCACCTTATAGATACTGTTCTCTCCTTTGGGTGTCTCTTATGTTTTTCTATTTTATGATTATTAAATGGTATTTTTAAATTTAAAGTAGATCTTCTTTTAAAATCTTCCCATAGCCTTCTAAGTATGTGGACTCTATCTGGGGAGAAGAGGAAAGACAGAAAGCAGGTCACAATACTTGCTTCTCATGGGTTCTGGGACCCTGACACATGGCAGCTGAAACGGTGGCTCAATGTGCCTTTGCTCTATGCCAGAGGTCAGAGGTCAGTCATGAAACTAGAATCTCTTGACAACTGAACCAGAGCCAGGAAAGATCTCAGTCAACCAAGGGGGTTTCCTTTCAGATCATTCTTGCTACAAGAGTCATACATGTTCCTCATGAAGATTTTGAAGACATAATAAAAACAAAAAATGAAATGTATTTGTTAGTCTGCCATCTGGAGACATCTGCTGTAAATAATAATATTTGTATCCTTCTGTACTTTTGTTCTAAATGCTTTCACCTCCTCAAGATGGAATTTAATGAACACAATTTCACACTCGCTCAGCTTCTTAAACCCAAAACATATGCAAGCCAGGTGTGGTACCACGCACTTCAGTCTCAGCACTCAGAAGGCAGAGAGAGGCAGGCGGATCTCTATGAGCTCCACACCAGCCAGAGAAGCATAACGAGACCCTGTCTCAAAAAGTAAGTTAATTAATAAAATCAAAACTGTACACAGGTCTTCTTACTCATTAAATGTCACCCTAACACATGACTCTTCCTGGCTGTGTAATAATTTAGTGGAAGGATGCAACACGTGTGCTGTTCCAAGCTTTGCTACAGAAAAAAATGCTACAGTGTTAATGTTCCTGGTAAATTTGGAGCATAATTTATTCCCTCAGACTATGCTCCTACTAAGAAATGTAGTTATCAGGTAGAAAGTTATTATAACTCTTGCTATTCTCTACCAGTTCACACTGTCATTTCTAGTGGATAAAGAAGGCTATTTTATATATCTTTGCCAACATGGATTCTATCATTTAAATAAAAATATCTTTAAAATACCACTTATTTTATGAACAGGTCTACATTGTTGAAAAACATCATTCCCTCCCCCCAATTAAGGAGTAGGCTTGAGGCACTAGGCTAGTGCAGTTATTCTGAAGTCATTTACTTTCTGACCTTGTGCTGGGGTAGCTTTCCCACTTACTGATACCTCAGGGAAGAAAAGGGTAAGGAGGAGTTTGAGGGGAAAAGAAACCCGTACAGATTTTTCTATCTCTGCAGACATTGAAGAGTCCGGTGCTCCAGTCCCCACCAGTCTGAACAATGGCTGTGACTGTGGTCCTGCCACTGGCTCCACGGAGAGGCTGCTTTACCACGGCACGAGCTGGTACTTGGCTCCTGGAGAGTCAAGGATGATGATTTACTTGTTAATAAAGATGCTGAAGAATGATAACCATTGATCAAGACAGAACAATAAAGAAGAGACCAGAGACCCATGGTCATAATCCAGGCTCAGTCATTTCCCTCTTTCAGCATGCCTTCTCTGACTTTTTTTTTTTTTTTTTTTGTCCCATTAAGGACCAATCTATCCCTTAAATCCAATGTCCAATCTATCACCTGAGTGTTTGCCAGGGTTTCATGATAGCTAAATTCACAAATTTGAAACAACGGGACATCAGGCCAGATCCCAGCCATGTCCACCCATGGTGACGTGACTTCAGCTAAGTGGTTTAAGACCCCTACTTTCTGTCAGTTCAGATGGGGAAACTACCTCATGGGACTTACTGTATCAACTGGAAGACATATCATTACTCCACTGCGTCTAGAGGGTGCACCACAGGTGAACTACACTATAACCCAAGAGTGGTGAGCATCTGTTAAAGAATGACAGGAAGGGCTGAGAGAGCAGCTAGAAACCTGGGCTCGGCTACTGGAGTTGACGTGTGGATGGCCCCAGGACAGAATATCCCACAACTTTAGTTTGATGTTGATTTTTGTGTTAGGAACAAATATTTCCACTTTCTATAACTCTAAATTAGGAAACAAGAGTTCAAGGGCCTGGGGTGCAACATGAAGTGAGGGGAAAACTTCCTCCTCTTCCTTAGGTGGAAAGCTTCACCTGAATTTCAGTCAGGGAAAGGGCAACAGTCATTTCTGTGGATGAAGGTAAGCTGCTTCCAGGTTCATGGGAAAGTTGGGTCAACTTGGAGTCAGTGGGGCCTAGAATAAGCCTGAGCCTGCACTGTGTATTCATTACCTTGTTGTATGACTCTCCTACAGCAAGCCTCCTGGAACGTGCTATGGAAAATTAAAGAAGGAATCTGCCTCACATTTGAAATAAAATAAACAAGACACAATACCATTTCCCCAGAAACCACTGTTGTAGTAGGTCACCAAGTTCTACATGCCCAAGAAGTCAAAGGGAAAAATGTCTGACCAATCATAAGATTGTATTGTGCTGTGGGCAAACAGCTGGGGAGCCCTTGCAGACCTGATTTAGAGCAATAAAATCAGTAAGATGTTCTGGTATAATGACATGTATTTCCCATCACAGCAATACTTCCTGCTATTATTGTTGTTGTGTTGAAGGTCCCCAGCTGGTGGTGTGATCTGGAGGGCTTCTGGAAACTTTTGGTGGTAAGGCTTATTTGGAAGAAGTACTTCATGGATCGTGTCTTTGAAGGTAGACTTTAAAGGGTCCAAAGACCAGTCTCTTCCTCCCTCTGTCCCTCCCTGCTTCCTGACTACCCTAAGGTATACACTATCTTTCTTCATATGTTCCCACCACCATGATGATCTAAACATGGGCCCATATTCAATGGAGTTAAGGAATATGGGTTGAAATTTCTGAAATCATAAGCCAAAACACATAATTCTTTCTTTTAGCTGTTTATATCATGCATTCTGACACAGTGACAAGAAAGCTAATAGCTTGCCCAAGCATTACCAAACAGGACAACTTGTTGAAACAAGTTTCAAAGCCTTGCCCCAGACCAACTGCACAGGTCTCTAAAGAAGTCTAGAAGTCACTACCATAACAGGTTTCCAGGTAATTCTTATGCAAGCATTCACCTTTTGCAGTGGATTTGGAAGACACTGGTGACTGCAATAGCTCACAAGTCTTCACCAGCTAGGCAGTGTCCATGTAACAGGAATGGCAAGGAAAACAGAACAGATGGTAGGCAAGAAGGGAGGATGCTTGAAACACACCTAGTCCAAAGACCCAGTGAGTCATCAAGATGCTAAACAAAGAGCTGGGAATGCTACACAAGAGCTCAGAAGGGAGGCCAGTGGCCCCCAGAGCACCTAGTCCTCATATCTGTTAGGCATTAAAAATAATACTTAGCTCTAATTAGCAATTTAAGATCCTTTGTTCTTAAGACTTGGAAAAATGTATAAACCATGAATGCTAAATTAAACACTAAAAGTTAGCATTCTGTCCATTTCATTGTCAAATAGGACTCATGAATTCTGCTGTTGTTTGGTGTGTTTTTGTTTTTGGTGTTTGATTTTGAGACAGGGTCTATGCAGTCCTCCTGGCTGGCCTGGAACTCATAGCGATGAATCTGCCTCTGTCTACTGAGTGCAGAGCTAAAGACTTATGTCACCACATTCAGTCCAACCCACAAATATTTTATTGTATTTGAAAATATGTTCAGTTTTCTTGTTCCTCAAAAGTTTGCAGAGGCATGGCTGCTTAAAAGCAAGAGCCAGTGGATAACAATTACTTATAGACAGATGATTTCAAAACAAAATTGTAAATGCCCTTTCATTTGTAAATGAAATTTGTAAATGAATTTGTAAATGCCCAGACATATGTAAAGAAAAAGGATTATTGATGGGAGATGTCATTCTGTATATATGTTTCTCATACTGGTTAATGAATAAAGCACTGTTGGCCAATAGGAAAGGAAGATAGGAGGGACTAAGAGACAAGTAGGAAAGAGGAAGTAGAAAGGAGGAGTCAGCATGGGGAGAAGGGAGAGAACAGAACTGCCAGCTTTCCGGTAAGACCACGTGGAAATACATAGAAAAGGGTTAATAATTAAGACAGAGCTAGCCGATAGGAAACTAGTACCTGGCCAACATCATTATATCAAATACAGAGTCTCAGTGTATTATTTGGGGCTGGCGCAGCGGGCGGAAAAACCTTACTCCTTACATATGGCGCCCACGTGGCTAATAAGAACTTCCACTTAAAATTTAACAAAACTTAAAAAAGGGTTTTAGAAACAAAAAAACAGAGACAAGCAAGGTTTCTTAGTAGCAGCATTTTTCTCTGTTGGATTCTGCTTTGCGAGAAAGAAGCAGATATTTGCAAGGCTCCTTTAAGGGAGGTTTCCTGACTCAGCGTAAGCGGCAAAAAACCGCATGGCTTTAAAAAAGCACTGCTAACAATTTATTGGTGTGTACAAGAGCTGGCAATGGCAATGACCACATCTCCAAGCCGGCAACATGCAGCTGGATGGCAGCATAGACCAAGACAGTGGCCACAACTCTCATTGCTGGCGGTAAAATAACCGCCGCCATGTTTGATAAACTGCAGCAGAAACAACTATGACTTTTATTTTAGCAATGTTGTTGTTTACCTGATAAAAGATGTGTGGCTACAAAAAGATAAAGGTTTACAGTAAAGACAGATTCACATTAAGAAAACCTCTAAAGGTTTACAGTGTGTTTTAAAATATACGTAGACTTGGGAGAAAAAAAGAATAAAATGGTTTTTAAAACGCAGTGAGGCGCTGGGTATGATGACACACACTTTTAATCCCAGCACTAGAGAGACAGAGGCAAGCAGATCTCTTGTGATTTCAAAGTAAACCTGGTATGCAGAGTGAATTCCAGGATGGATAAAAGTTACACAGAGAAATCCTGTCTCAAAAAATAAAAAATAAAAGTAAAAGAAACACAATAATAAAAAAGCCAGGATGGAGAGAATATGGATATTGTATGGTATTATATTGTCTTTGTATCTTTTGACTGCGGAGGAAATAACAACTGTTAAAACAAATGCTGCTGGATCAATCCAATTTATATATTTTAAAAATGCTTTGACTTCAAAATTTAAGTCTAAGGACAAGTTACTAGGGAAAAGGATTTCTATTTTTGTTTCCACAGAAAATGAAAAGTTGTGGATTCCTTCCAGACTAACATGGTTTGATCAAGCCAGACCCCCTGAAACACAGTCCCAGGTGATCCAACATTCAAAACAGTTGGGACAAGCCAGCCTTGCAGACTACAGCCAGGATTTCTGGGTCTTCTTAGGATCTCCATGACTGCGCCCCTACCAGCAGGAAGCAGTTTGGAAAGGACGACACCCAAATTCCCAAATATTGTTTATAAGTGTTTGCTTACATTTAAATGGGGTTGGTTATAAATGGTTAATGATTACAACCAATATTTTTAAAGACAAAAAGGGAATTATGGTATAGATAAGAATACTTTGTGTTGGAATGGATTTTCATTTATTGATACAATTTAAGGTCAATCTTATGATGTGTATATTTCTCCTTTTGTTTAGGTATTGTGTTTATATAACTGTTAGAAATGTAATGTATAATTTAGTACAGATTTTAGATAGTTACCTATAATAGTCAAAACTTAAAGTTAAGTTAGTTAGGATTTCTAGATATATAGAGATGTATTTAAGATGAATAGGCATTCTTCAAACCTTTCAAAGACCTACAGAATATGGCATTTAAAATGGTTTAGGGTTTTTCTTGACAGCAAGACATAAATACTCCTGGCAACACCACCTGCACCGGAAAGGAAGATGGACATCAAAGAAACGTGTTATGAAGTTACTTCCAATATGGCAAGACTAGCCATTTGGACAAGATACTACTCTTGTCTGGAGTGTTTGACTTTATGCTATATAAACTGGACATGCAGGACCCACAGAAAAGTGACTGCTGATTCAAGATGGACATTGCTACAGAGTTCCTGCTTCATGGAAGAAGAGTCTGCCAGACAGTCTGCAGGACACAAAGAAAAGTGACTGACAAACTGCCAACACAAGAAGACAGTTTAAAGTTTCCTGCTTTGCTGAAGAGTCTGCCAGACACAGTATGGCCTATGGGCTGAAGATGGAAGATTACAGAAGAACTTCAGGTGACTGAAAAGGCAAGATGTCGCTGTCATTTCTAGAGTTTATATATTATCCTTCTGTGGTCTTTGATGGAACTGAAGACAGATAGTTATGGTTATAGTTTTCCTTAGGCTTAAAGATAAGACACATATAGGTCTTTAGACTCACAAAGATAGAATAGATGATGGGATATTTTCTTAAATCTTGCTAAATGTTAATGGACTAAATATTGTTAACTGTGATTCTTACTTGATAACTGTTGTGTGATATATTTTGCTATGCTAAGGTTAAAACCCTTCTTTTTATTTAGACAGAAAAGAGGAGATTATGGGAGATATCATTCTGTATATATGATTCTCATACTGGTTTAATGAATAAATCACTGTTGGCCAATAGGAAAGCAAGATAGGCGGAACTAAGAAACAAGTAGGAAAGAGGAAGTAGAAAGGAGGAGTCAGCATGGGGAGAAGGGAGAGAACAGAACCGCCGGCTTTCTGGTAAGACCACGTGGAAATACATAGAAAAGGGTTAATAATTAAGACAGAGCTAGCCGATAAGAAACTAGTACCTGGCCAACAGCATTATATCTAATACAGAGTCTTGGTGTGTTAATTGGGGCTGGCGCGGCGGTGGGACAAGACCAGTGGTGGGAGGAAAACCTTACTCCTTACAAATTATGACATGTGTATTGACATTTGTTCTGAAATGAGTTATGGATAATTTCTGTGGATTGTCATATGCTCCCTGAAACACATATTGAGTCCCCAGCCCCCAGTGTGGCTGTATATGGAGGTGACTCGTAGGAAGCCAAGTTCAGTGGGTCAGAGGGATGGAATCCCAAGTTACTGGGACTGATGGAGGAAGAGGCCAAGCAATTACCATGAGACCCGAGAGGCCTCACAGAACCCACCCATACTCCCCCAAGCCCAGACTTCCAACCTCCAGAACCCAGGGAATTAGTTTTTACTAATTCCACCTAGCCTAGGGTCTTTTGTCATAGCCACCTATGAACATTTAAAACTGGTCCTGAAGAATCTGCTTTCATATTGGTCCTATTTCATCTCCCTCCATGTGAGCTCGTTGCCAGGGGCCACATGCTGTTGTTCCTCTTTGTATGCCCAGCACCAGCACACTACCCTGAAACTGAGTGAGTACTCCATAAATATTTGCTGATTGGATCAAATAGATTCACTGTCGCTCCTATTGTACTCACATCTTTCTCAAATCTAGCTCCTCTGGGCTAAATTATGCAACTTGAACTGCGTTGTTTCAATTCTATCGTAAAGGACATAACTCTCAGGTGTGAACTGATGAAATAAAAGCTGAGGATAGCCTAAAAGCTTTCTGCATCTCTCTCCACAATCCAAGGCATTTCCTTCTCGGCATGATGCCTACCAGTGAGGGCTCCCATCATTATGCTAAAAGCTTCAATCATCTCTGATTTTAGTGGAGGGATTTCTGAGGGCTGAGCACCTGGAAAGATTTTTTTTTCCCTGAAATGAACCATTTACAGCTTACAGCCCTAGACAATAATTTTTTGCTTCTATCTTAAAATTATGTGCATAACACCTTTTATCACAGCAAGGAAGCCAGTCTTCTATCTACTCCAAATCAAGTAAATGAGAAGCTAACTTTTACTTGTTGGAAAAAATTACGTGTATGTGTGTGTGTGTGTATGCGCGCGCGCACGCACACGCGCGCACGTGTGTTTGCCTAATTCTGAACTCAGTAAGAACTCAATTCTAATATTCTGAATATTTGGTAATTTTTATTTTATTAAAAGTTTAGATTTATGGATGCAAACATGTTTCAGTTCAAGCTTATGGCTCATCTGTTGTGATTAAAATAACAATGCCAGCCCTTCCCTACAAGCTTTCTATGTGCCAGGCATTTAGTTGCTTCATTAAAAATAGAAAGATGACTAGGCATGACAATGCACACCTGTAACCCCAGTACCTGAGAGAATTTGAGACCAGCCAGGCCTGCATAGCAAAATCCTATCTAAAGAGAGTGAGAATTATTCAACGCAAGTGGCTTATCTTAATCTGGGGCTACTAGAGATGAGATGAAAGTAGTTACTGCAACTTCTTGGACAGCTTATCTGTATATGACCCCCAAGGGATGCTTATGCCACCATGAAGAACAGGAACAAGCTTGGACATGATGGATACAGTTGATACCCACAGAACTGTGCCAAATCAGATACTGTCCATTCACAAGAAGCAATTTGTGCACAGTCAATTTCAAATCCAGATCAGCTACATTCGAGTTCTTTAAGCTTAAGAAAGACCCTATCACTGCCCTCAGCTCTGGTCTCATCTTCCTCCTCCAACTGTGTTTTCAGTACTCTAGCTCTTAGTCACCATAAGTATTCAACATTATCATGTACTTAGTCCATGGGAGGCATGCAGTTGGTGGCAACTAGTGTTAACGTGACGTTGACATCCAGTGTATAACATGGGCATTCTTTGCTGTTCTGAAGAATGAAGAAGGCAGAGAAATCTGGGTCAGTTTTTTGTTTGTTTGTTTGTTTGTTTGTTTTTAAGCTGATGCATGTGCTACCCAAATACCTTGAAATACAGTCAGGATGACCAACTGTCTCACTTTTTCAAGATAGTAAAATCTTTTGGTACTAAAATCAAGATGGGCCTGAGAAAACCAAGAGAGATGGTACCTGTGCTCACTAAAAACAGAGGGAAGCTTCAGTGGTAAACAGGGGGGTGACATCGGCCTCATCTGAGCCCCCTACCTAGTAATGCTTCAAAGGTTAAAACACCCTCCTCCCTCATTTTGGCTTCTCCCTCTTCAAAGAGGAGAGAGCTCCTAAGAAGCTAGGCGCTTTCCCCACCAAATACTGACTGTCCCCACATTCAGGATGTCAATCTGGGTAGTTGCTGTTAATTCTTTAATCAAGCATACAGTCCTAAGAATTTATTGTACCTTCCACTCAGGCCTCCTTGTTTACCTCAAATTCTTAATTGAAGTCAATTCTCTGAGATATTCATGTCAAGGAGGTAGAAATCACAGGCAGTCACCAGAAGTAAAGTATCACTTGGCCAGGATAAGACAATTTAAACTGAGAATGAAGCTATTCCCTTTAACTCAAGTGGTCCTTCTTCCATGAGCCAAGTACAGTTGCCCCTTTTCAATTACACATGAGGCTAGGTAATGCCCACTCTCCCCATAAGCTATTCTTCCCCTGGCTCCTTTTACCAAAAGATTGGCTGGATATTCAAACTAACAGCAAAACCTGGGAGAAAAATACCTGACTTCCTACCTCAAGTTGGAGAGTAAATGCTCATCTCCAGATGACATGAGTGAGAAGAGTGGCACATGTGTACTGAGCAAGGACACGTCCTCATGGCACCTGGAGAAGTGATGCCCAGGCCAGATCATGGTAAGTGTCTTCCTGTCTGGCTATCCTTTCCCTTGAACAACAAGGAGATCAGTTCTGAACTTGGGTTCAAACCAAAGTGAGGCATGCCTTGAAAAGAATGTTGCCTTGATATTCTGGAACCTGAGGTCATAGAAGTCTGATAGACGACATTGTATCTTTTTAAAGATGAGTACATGTCTAACTAAGGGGGCTATACCTTTTTCTAATCTGAAGGGAAACTGATGGAGATACAATGTAAACACAAATTTTAAAATAAGAGACTTATCTTTGATGGGAAAATCCTTTGCTTTCAAAGATAACTTTACTAAGTATTTACCTAGTTAAGTGGCTAAGCACCATGTCTCCTGTTGTAGATGCTGCAGTTTTCCATCCTACTAGGCAGCAAGGTGGCTGCATCATCAGGACCAGTGGTCCAATCCTGAAAGATGAGACAATCCCATAATATACCCAAAAGCAGGGACAGAAAGTCTTCCAGCCCAAGAACTACTTATCAAGAAAAAAGGTCTTCAAAGGATCAGAAAACCATTAAGAAAAATAATTGAGGTCAGACTATTCCCAACATAGAAGTATTAAGCCATATATTTCTAATTACAAAGGGGAAAACACACATCATGCATACCTGGAAAAAGCCAATTGTATCCAAAATGTGTATTTACAACTGAAAGTTCTGAGAGTGTTTTTAAAGAAAAGGGAAATCACCTGCAACAAAAGGTCTGGAAGTGACTATCCAGGAAGGTATCTCTGAAACAGTATACCCTGGAAGTTGTCAGGAAGTACAATTACAAGGGGAACAAACTGAGATAATTTATCTTCAAATGAAAGTAATACTTAATCTGATTTCAGTAAACCTCTAGGCATGTTGCTAAAAGAAATAACGTTCTGTTGGTCAAGTGAAACAAAGTAAAAAGGAAACAAACAAATTTAAACCTAACTCAACATATATGATACAATACTATTTTGGCATTCAATCTCCCCCCCCACCCCCCCGCCTAATGTTATGTCTGGGCGCTGTGTTTGCATGAATGTCTGTGCATCAGGAGCATGTCTGGTGCCCACAAAGCCAGAAGAGGCTGTCAAATCCCCTAGGATCAGTCACAGACAGTTGTGACCCACTATGTAGGTGCTGAGGATAGAACAAGGTTCTCTGGAAAAGTAGCCAGTGCTCTTAACCACTGGAACCATTGCTCCAGCACCTTCAAACAATATTTTAAAATTATTACTGAAATATCTTACATTCATTTTGTACAGAGAAACACTAAGATCTGGGACATAAAATACAGTTACAGCATATCGAGATCTGGTCCAGCTAACTTTTACCTGCTCTGAAGACTTGTTTGGCTAGTAGCAAAGCCCTGAATAGCACAACTCTGAATTTACCATCACAGGAAATATGTACCACTTCCTCTTACAAACTGAAAATGCAGCATTTCTTTATTACATTCTTTAAGACCCTTAGGAGTGTCATCTTCTACCTGCACGCGCGTGCGTGCGTGCGTGCGTGCGTGCGTGTCTGTCTGTCTGTCTGTCTATGTCTGTGTGTCACCTGCAACTAGTTATACTCTGGGTATAATATATCAGTGAACAATGAGAAATTTATTGTTATACTCCAAGTTTAGAGGTATTCTAATGCAAGGTTCTCAACTGTTTCACAGGAGTTGTATATCAGATATCTTGCATATCAGATGTTTCCATTACAATTTACAACAATAGCAAAATTACAGTTATGAAGTAGCAACAAAAATAATTTTATGGTTGGGGTTCACCACAACATGAGGATTAGGAAGGTTGAGAACCACTTGTTCTAATGTGAATGTAAAGTTATGTTCAAGATATTAAGAGAAAAACAGTGAATGAGCAATTAGTGTTAAACCCATACGTTCTTAACATTGTCAAAGGAATGTATTTCAAGATGTATATCAATATTAACAAATTAAGCCAGGCACAGTGGTGCATGTCTTTAATCCTAGCACTTGGGAGGCAAAGGCAGATGGATCTCTGAGTTCAAGCCTGCCTTGTCTATAGAATTTCAGACTACCAAGACTCCACAGGAAAAACCCTACCTTGAAAAACCAAAAGTAAAAATAAATGTTATTTGTTTCAAAAGTGTATAGTGCCACTCCACTAGTAAGTTCAAATGCCCAAATCTACCCTAGAATGCCTTTAAAAAGACCCCATTTAGTTAACTGTTTCCAAATTCCTTCTCATTCCTAACCATAGCATCCTATTTGGAGCATCATCTCCCAAACCCAGGTCCACCTTTACCATAGTTCTTATCTCAAAGTTTCAGCTGCTCCTTCAATCCCATCCTCTACACCACACCTTATCTGTGAAGCCTTCCTGACTTCACTTTGGCCTGACAGCCTGACAACACAGGTACAGGCCACATTCTGTTCTCCAGGAAGCAGTCCCATCTACCCAACGAGCATGTTGGGTGAACACAGAACATGGGGGCGAGTGCTCCAGCTCAACCCTCACAGGACTATGTGGGATTCTGAACATCCACTTTCATCTCCAGACCTATCTCATGGGGCCCCCTTGTTGTTCGCTGCTTCCACAAGCATCTCCAAGCCTCTCTCAGAGCCTTTGTATTCGCTGTTCCCAGGTATCTGCTAATAAAAGTACACCTGCCCTGGAACCTTTAAGCTAGCTCCCGTCTATAAATTCATTCTGAATATACACTTCCTGAAATACTAGTCACATATTCATAAGATTATTCACCACGTTCCCTTTCTTGTCATACATTATTTTCACATATATGTGTGTGTGCCCATACCAGTTTATGTGCATGATGTGCACAGAGAAGCCTGAGGCGAAAAGGGGATACCAGATCCCCTGGAACTAGATTTGTAAGGGATTATTAGCCACTATGTGGGTGCTAGGATCCAAACCAGAGTCCTCTGCAAGGGCAGCAAATGTGTAGTTGCTGAACAATGCTCCTATGCAGCCTCTCCTACACATTCTTAACAAAGTCTACAGACTATTACTCGCAAAGAACTTAAGTCTAGGCAGGTAAACCTTCACAGCAGCATTATACAGTAGGATGAAAGTAAGAAGAGGAAGCAGGGTAAGGCAGGAGAGAGTAGCATGAAAAAGAATTCTCATAATGCCAGCCTTTGGTGGTGTATGCCTTTGATCCCAGCACTCAAGAGGCAGAGACAGGCAGATCTCTATGAGTTCAAGGCCAGCCTGGTCTACAGAGCGAGTTCTAGGACAGGCTCCAAAATAATACAGAGAAACCCTGTCTCGAAGAACCCAAAAGAAAAAAAAAAAAAAAAAATTCTCATAGCAACATATTCAGGTTATGTTATTAGCTTTAAAAAGCAAAGTATAAAATAATCTTATATATAATTCTATAAAAAGATATCTATAAGTAATTCTACAGAAAATATTTCCTCCTACTATATTAGAAAAAAGAAATTAAAATTAGTAAATTAATTGCCTGTTTTGGAAAGAAATATAGAAAATATAACCAATAATAATGCTTAGCTATTAAATGTAAACATGGTATAAGATTTTGTGAATGGATATAGTTTTGACTTTCAAACCATGTATTTTACTTATTAAAAAAAAGAAAAAGAAGCAGGCTAGAGAGATAGCTCAGCAGTTAGAACACTTGGTTTCCTTGCAGAGGATCCGAATTCAATTGCTGGAGATAGCTCCCAGTGGCCTTTACCTCCTGCTCCAGGGAATGAAGCCTTCTTCTGGCCTCCACAGGCACTGCACTCAAGTGCATACACCCACACTCATGGCACACAAATACATTTAATTAAAAATAGAACAAATCTTCTTTTTTCCCAAAGAAAACCATGAAGCTGGACATAAAAGAATAATAAATGCAATGATTAAACCACATATAGAGTCAGGCATGGTGATGTATGCCTTTAATCCCAGCCATCAGGAAGCAGAGGCAGGAGGATTACTGTGAGTTTGAGACCAGCCTGGTCTACAGAGTGAGTTCTAGGACAACAGCAAGGACTGTTACACAGAGAAACTCTGTCTCAAAAAACAAAAACAAAAAGAAGCACATATAAAAAATAATTGGGGATGGGGGGTAGGTTATGAGCTGGAGAGATGGCTCAGAGGTTAAGAGCACTGGCTGCTTTTCTACCTGAGTTCAATTCCCAGCAACCACATGGTGGCTCACAACCATCTACAATGAGATTCAGTGCCCTCTTCTGGCATGCAGACATACATGGAGGCAGGATGTTGTATTCATAATAAATGTGGTGGCGCACACCTTTAATGCCAGCAATGGGGAGGCAAAGGCAGGTGGACCTGAGTTCCAGGCCAGCCTGGACTACATGGAAAGACCTTGTCTCAAAAATATACAGTAATTCAAGAAGCCATATACCAAAAAAAAAAAAAAAAAAAAATTCAAAAATATACTTGAATACAGCACTGACTATATAGCCAAGAAAGATGCTCTAAAACACAAGGAAAAACAACTGAAAAATAAAAATCACTAACTCAAGAGATTTTTCATCCATAGTTGTGTTGAACTGAGAGCTCCAAAGCAGACACACCTAAAGGAAACCAGTTATCCGTGGGTCCCTAGCACAAAGCAAAACAAAAGGTGGCCCCAGGAAATCAACACAAAGGGCACAAAGCCTATCCCCCCCCCCCCCCCCCCCCCCCCCCGCATCGCTCACTCACTAGTAACATGACGCTGTGAGGTAGTTTTCCTAGATCAGGCTGGCCACCTGACAGTAAGTCAACAAAGCTTACTATTCCTTCCATTTTATAACTGTAGCTGAGAACTTGCCAAGATACCCAAGTTCAAATGAAGTGGAATCTAGCCTAGCTAGCTGACATCAAAGCCACACTGCCTGACAGATATGTGATCTGCACCGGATTCCCAAGCAACAGTCACTGGACCTCAGTTAGAATTCAGCTTCCTTGGGACTGTCAAAACTGGCCTTTCCCCATGGTGAACCCTTCAAAAGTGGAAATATTTCCTTCTCTGCTGGTCGATGCCTTACGTCTTTTCATTATATGAAGACAGATGGACAAATGTAGT